CTTCCGAGAAGACGTTGAGCGCGAGAATTTCAGTGCCACCCCGCCCGTGGAACAACCCGTGGTCGAGGAACGGCCTGTCGATGAGGATCCCCGAGAGGAACAACAAACCTTTGATGAAGATGAGTTGCCCCGAATTGACAAAATGTCCATGGAAGAACTGGTGGCCCTGATAATGGAATAAACAATATGTGATTACATAAAATCGATAGTTATGTATTACAATATATTCAAAGAAATTAATTACCGAAATCAGTTTTTGGTATCCTGTCAGTTCTTATATGAATATATTTAATGAAATATGCATAAATGTACGAGTGGGTATGTGGGAGAGAGAGAGAAACAAACGTAAGTGAGAGGAATAAGAGATAAATAGCGTGTGTGTGAATGTATGTGTAAGAGGCTGTTTGTCCATATGTCTTTGCATGTAGGTTGGTCTGTAAGGATATTCAGCGGTTCTTTGTAAACACAGGCATTTTGTCCTCGCCAACAAGTTCACGATACCGTAGTGATAAAGGTAATTACACAGCAATTTTTCACTGACAGCAGGAAGTCAATAGGCTCTCTCCGAAGGAACAGTATGTCCAATACGATAACATGTATATGTTTGTATCCATATACATTTGTGTATTATATAAATGTATACATATGTATATGTATATATGTATGTTTATATATACATATATAAGTACACTTACACATACAAACACACGCACATTGTGTGTATATATATGTATGTATATAAATGCGTTATATACATGATATGTATATATACACATATGTGTATATATACGTATATACTGTATATGTATACATATACATTATGCAAACACACACAAGACGCATGTAAATATTTATGAATATATCTATATATATATATATATATGTTAATGTGTGTGCCTGAATATTCAATAAATATATACTTCATAAATTTCCTCTCCCTCCTTTCCGCTTAATTTATAGTACTAATGATAATAAAAATATTATTAGTAAAAATAATGATAATAAGAATAATGAAAATGATAATAATTTTGATAACAATGGCAGCAATAATAGTAGAAGTAATAACGGTAATGATGATAAGAATAAGAATCGTAATGATAATAATAATAATAATTGAAATAATAACAATGATAATAAAACTAACTATATAATAATAGTAATGATGATAATAACAATAATAACAATAATGATGATAATGATAATAGTGAAGGTAAAAATAATAATATAATAATAGTAATGAAAAGAATAACAATAATGATAATGATAACAATAATAATAATGATGATAGTGAAGATAATGATAATGATGATAATAATGCCAATGATAATAATAATAAGGAAAAGAATGAGTAATAGAGTAAAAATAATGATGATGATTATAAGTAATAACAGTGATGATAATAATAATGATAGTAAAAATCATAGTGACAAATATAATAATTACAGTAACAAAGACAATAATAATAACAACAATAATACTAATACTAATGATGATAATGATTATAATGATCCTAAAAGTATTAAAACAATACAACCATATGATAATAATGATAAAAATGAAAATGATATTAATGATAATAATTATTATGTTAACAATAATGATAATAATTATTATGTTAACAATAATGATGATAATTATTATGTTAACAATAAGGATAATAATTATTATGTTAACAGTAATGATAATATTAATGGTAATAAAAATTACAATTATGACAGCAATGATAATAATAATGATAATAATAATAGTAATAATGATAGTGATAATGATGACAATAATAATGGTAGAAATAAGAAATATTAATAGCAACAATAAATATATATATATATATGATAATGAAAACAATAATAGCGATAATAAATAACAATGAATATAATAGTAATTGTAGCAATGCTAATACCATGATAATAATTATAGTAATAATAATAATAATAATAATAATCTTAATAATGATACTAGTAATAATAATAATAATAATAGATACAATGATAATAATAATAGCAGTAGTAGTAATGATAATTATGATCATAACGATATTAATATTACTGATAACGATAACATCAATATTTATGACAATAATGATAATAACAATAACAACAATAATGATGATGACAATGCTGCTAATAAGAAATATAATAATAATAATAACGATAATAAAGCCAATAATGATAATAATGATATTAAGGATAATAATGATGATGATAATGATAAAGAGAACAATAATGATAATAATAATGATAGTAATACTAATACTGATAATTGTAACAAAATTAACTATGATAATATCTATAAATGAAGATCATGTGTTAGTGTAGATACATTCCATTACCATTACTTACTCATAATACAGTAATTGCCTGTTCCCCATTGCGAGTTCGCAAGAGAGCTGTAAGGAGAGGGGATGGGAGGGAGAGAGAGTGGGGTGGGGAAGAGGAGGGAAGAAGAAAAAGGGAAGGAGGGGGTTGAAAGGAATTCCCAGATCCCCACACCCTCCCTTTTACATCTTCTCTGTGTTGGCGTCGAGCACAGAATATATAAAGGAACACTGAGGCGCAATTCTGAGCAGTTCTTGCGGTGTGGTCTCAAAGTCAAGGTAGGGATGATTTCAGCCATTGTGTGTGTTTTTAAAGTCTCAGGAAACGTCGTTTTTCGTTCTTACATATATCCATACATACATACACACATATATTCATATATACATATTCATATAAATATATGTATATATATATACATATATGTATATGTATACCATGCATATGTGTATATATATATGTATACATGTATATATATGCATATATACATCACTGATTTGGAACTATTTGCAGGCTGTTGCGGATGTCCTTTCGGAATTCTTTGTCCACAAAAGCGATTTTAAAAATAAATCTAAATAAATGCAATGATAATTCCTTTTATGAAGTGCATGGAAAATTTACATGTGTCAGCTAGTGGACGTATCCAACTAATCATTTCGCAAGCTCGTAGCAAGGTTTTGATAACTCCAGGTACATATGTCAGCTCGTGTTACGTGTGACAGTCTGTGCTACGTTTGTCATGTCAGTTCATTTCAGCTGTGTGTCGTTTGTGTTAACATGTGTCAACTGTGTCAAACCACGTCATCTAGAAACTCTTGATAATTCGGTATACGACAACTTATATGCAGATACATGGATTTAGAAAATATTGAAAATCTAAACAAACTTTCAGTGTTTAAACTATTTACTCGCAAATCTATTATCGTTAATACCTTATTCGTATTATATAATTATTATGTATATCATTATCAATGTGCTAACACTGTTAATAAGAATACAACTAGTGTGCGGGATGCTTAATGTAAATGATTAGCAATATCGTGCGAACAATGATGTTAACAATAATAGATTGTATTTCTAACACACATACAAATGCACCCACAGATGCACGCACGAAACCTCCCTTTTGTGCTTTTGCAGGTGTGTTGGGCCGTTGCGTCCTGCGAAGCCTCTCTGTCAATCGGTGGCTTAGTGGGTGGCTTGGCGATTCTGAAGGGCGCGGCGCTTGTCAGTTACGCAGTGGGGCGTCACCAGCGTTACAACCGGGGACACTACCACGGCCGTTCTCACTATCACGGAGGCTATAACGGGAGAAGACACTATCGCAACGGCCGCTCCGTCGATACCGACACCGAAGAAAACGCTGATGAAGGCAAGAACCTGCTCCTGTCCACCGTGGGGCAGCTCGACCCCGACGGATGCATCCTCAAGATGCTCTGCCACCTCCAGACGAGGAGTCACTACAGCCTCATGCCAGAGGAGAACGTCCTCGTCGACATGTTCACAAACAACACGGAGACCATGTCCTCCTACAACGCCGCCTTCGTCTACGCCACGGACGTCGGCACCAAGACTCGCGATCCGTCCGTCTGCAACAGACTCTTCCCCAAATGTTCCCTCATTCAAGAACAGCTGAGAAGACTCCTTCGGAGAGTCTGGGGCTGCGCTTCTGACCTCTTCCGAGAAGACATTGAGCGTGAGGAACAACCCGTGGGCGAGGAATGGGCTGTTGATAAGGAGCCCCGAGAAGAACAACAAACCTTGGACGAAGAGCAGCTCATAGTCCATGACGAAGAACTGCCCCGACATAACGAAATGTCCGTTGAAGAAATGGTGGCTCTAATTATGGAGTAATCAATTTATATAATTATTACCTAAATTCGGTAGCTATTTAGTAGGACAAGATATTCAAAGAAATAAACTACTGAACTCAATTGCTATTCTTGCTATCATTTCAGTTGTGATTTTTAAAAATAAACTACACATTACAAAACCAATGAATATGTGTGTGTGGGTGTGCAACCGTACCTGCGACTGGGTATGTGAGAGAAATTAAAATAGAGAGAAATATAAAGAGTGGGAGAGAGGGATTGGAAAAGAGAGAGAAAAAAAGAGAGCGTGAGTATGAATTAGAGGTGCTTGTGTCTTAGCGTGTAGGTTGGTCTGTTTGTGAGTGTATTCAGTGGTTCTCTGTAGATTGAGGCAGCAGGCAAGTTTTCACTGGCAGCAAGAACCAGCAGCACTTGACTAGTGGCGCCATACTTTGAAAGTTAATAGGCTCTCACTTAAGGTACAGGATGTGCAACATGAGAAGACGTATTTGTGTATGTATATATATAATGTGTGTGTGGGTGTGCAACCGTACCTGCGACTGGGTATGTGAGAGAAATTAAAATAGAGAGAAATATAAAGAGTGGGAGAGAGGGATTGGAAAAGAGAGAGAAAAAAAGAGAGCGTGAGTATGAATGAGAGGTGCTTGTGTCTTAGCGTGTAGGTTGGTCTGTTTGTGAGTGTATTCAGTGGTTCTCTGTAGATTGAGGCAAAATTATCTTCGCCACCAGTTCACCATACCGGAATGATAAAGGTAATTACACACGCAGGCAAGTTTTCACTGGCAGCAAGAACCAGCAGCACTTGACTAGTGGCGCCATACTTTGAAAGTTAATAGGCTCTCACTTAAGGTACAGG